GGTAGTAGTAGTAGTAGTCGTCGTCGTCGTCGTCGTGGTCGTCGTAGGCGTAGTAGTAGTAGTAGTAGTAAAAGTAGTAGTAGTAGTAGTAGTAGTAGTAGTAGTAGTAGTAGTAGTAGTAGTAGTAGTAGTAGTAGTAGTAGTAGTAGTAGTAGTAGTAGTAGTAGTAGTAGTAGGTAGTCGTAGCAGTAGTAGTAGTAACAGTAGTAGTAGTAGTAGTAGTAGTAGTAGTAGTAGTAGTAGTAGTAGTAGTAGTAGTAGTAGTAATAGTAGTAGTGGTAGTAGTAGTAGTAGTGGTAGTCTTGCTAGTGCTAGTACTAGTAGTAGTAGTAATAACAGTCGTAATAATCGTCGTAGTAGTAGTAGTACTCGTAGAAGCAATCGTAATAGTAAGTGTAGCAGTCGTAGTAGTAGTCGTAGTAGTAGTAGTAGTAGTAGTAGTAGTGGTAGTAGTAGTAGTAGTAGTCGTAGTAGTCGTAGTAGTACTAATACTACTAGTTGTAGCAGTAGTAGTATTAGTAGTAGCGGCAGTAATCGAACTAGTAATTGTAGTAGTAGTAGTAGTAGCAGCAGAAGTAGTAGTAGTAGTCGTAGTAGTAGAAGTCGTAGTATTGGTAGCAATTGTTGTTGTAGTCGTACTGGTAGTCGTAGTCGTAGTAGTTGTAATAGTAGTAGTCGTAATAGGAGTAGTAGTAGTAGTAGTAGTAGTAGTAGTAGCAGTAGTCGTATTAGCCGTAGTAGTGGTAGTAGTAATCGTAGTAGCAGTAGCAGTAGCAGTAGCAGTAGCAGTAGCAGTAGTAGTAGCAGTAGTAGTAGTAGTACTAGTAGTAGTACTAGTAGTAGTAGTAGTAGTAGTAGTAGTAGTAAGAGTGGTAGTAGTAGTAGTAGTAGTAGTAGTAGTAGTAGTAGTAGTAGTAGTAGTAGTAGTAGTAGTAGTAGTAGTAGTAGTAGTAGTAGTAGTAGTGTTGTTGTTGTTGTAGTAGTAGTAGTGATAGTAGTAGTTAGTAGTAGTAGTAGTAGTAGTAGTCGTCGTCGTCGTCGTCGTCGTCGTCGTCGTAGTAGTAGTAGTAGTAGTAGTAGTAGTAGTAGTAGTAGTAGTAGTAGTAGTAGTAGTAGTAGTAGTAGTAGTAGTAGTAGTAGTAGTAGTAGTAGTAGTAGTAGTAGTAGTAGTAGTAGTAGTCGTCGTCGTCGTCGTCGTCGTCGTCGTCGTCGTCGTCGTCGTCGTAGTAGTAGTAGTAGTAGTAGTAGTAGTAGTAGTAGTAGTAGTAGTAGTAGTAGTAGTAGTAGTAGTAGTAGTAGTAGTAGTAGTAGTAGTAGTAGTAGTAGTAGTAGTAGTAGTAGTAGTAGTAGTAGTAGTAGTAGTAGTAGTAGTAGTAGTAGTAGTAGTAGTAGTAGTAGTAGTAGTAGTAGTAGTAGTATGGGGAGGACGAGGAGGAAAAGGAAGAGTACGAGGAAAAAAAAGGACGACGAGGACGAATATGAAACGGAAAACATGACAACGGAAGAGGCGGAAGAGGAGGAGGAGGAGGCTGAACATGAGGATGAACCTGGTTATGATGATGATGATGACGATGCTGATGATGATGATGCTGATGATGGTGATCATGAAGAGGATAAGCAGCAGCAGCAGGACGGAAAACACATGGGGAGGAGGAGGAGGAGGAGGCAGAACGAGGCGGAGGCAGGAGGATGAGGCAAGAGGAGCGGGATGAGGGAGCGAGAGGGTATCCTCAGGCAAGCTGGACATATCATCATGTGGGGTCTTTTCGTCGGAGTAAGTTTTGCGTTACTTTTGCCAGTCTTCCGATAACTTCCGCCGAAGCAGGGAAGTCAAGTCCTACATCCTTCGAACGCGAGGCCCTGTCTGGAACGACGCGTTGCGTTGAATACCATCAGTGTAAGGTGATTGGATGCTGACGTTGCTCGGTGGCCAGTGAGGACGATTCTATAGAATCAGAGTGAGGGGGCCGAGCGGTCATTCACTGTCCCTGGGTGCGTGGCCGGAGAGGCATTCCGCGATAAGGGTTCTTGTTGTTGTTGATGTTGTTTTTGGTGTTGTGCTTGTTTTTGTTGGTGTTGCTGTTGTTGTTCGTTGTGTGTTGCTTGTTGCCTGTTGTTGGTGTTGTTGATGTTGTTCGTTGTGTGTTGCTTGTTGTTTGTTGCTTGTTGTTGCTGCTGATGTTTCTTGTTGTTGTTGGTGGTGCTGTTGTTATTGTTGTTGAACTCTCATTACTGAAATAAAGATTGTTGATCCCCCCTCCGGTGCACATTGTATGTTTCAATTTAAATGCCCCTCCCGGCGCTCGCACCTTGGTTTTTCGCAAGGGAAGTCTTCGTCCTCAAACCGCGTTGTTGATTCCCGGGTTACAACAACAACGGCTCCCGCCTGAGACTTCCTCACAATTTAGCCAGGACCCCTGCTCCCGCCTGAGACTTCCTCGCGTTCTATTCAGGATTCGCGCTTGGGACTGCCTCACAATTTATTCCAGAATCGCTTTCTCGGCGCTCTGGAGTCGCGCTCTCGCTGGAGACTCGCTTGCAATATACTCAAGAATGTCACCCTTGCGTTGGAATTTCCCGCAATTTACTTAAGCGCCGCGCTCCCGAGACTCAGGCACCCAGGAGTCGCGCTCACGCTTAGGACTCCCGCACATATTATTCAGGAGTCGGGATCTCGCTGCCCTTCGTGGCCCCGTTGCAGCGCTTCGTGCCCCCCTCCCTGCCGTTCGTGGACCAGTTGCTGCCCTTCGTGACCCCCTCGCTGCCTTTCGTTGCCCCGTTGCAACCCTTCGTGGCCCCCTCGCTGTCCTTCGTGGCCACGTTGCAGCCCTTCGTGGCCCCCTCGCTGCCCTTCGTGGCCAAGTTGCACCCTTCGTGGCCCCCTCGCTGCCCTTCGTGGCACCGTTGCACCCGTTCGTGGCCCCCTCGCTGCCCTTCGTGGCCCCGTTGCAGCCCCTCGTGGCCTCCTCGCTGCCCTTCGTGGCCCCGTTGCACCCTTTCGTGACCCCCTCGCTGCCCTTCGGGGCCCCGTTGCAGCCCTTCATGGTCCCCTCGCTGCCCTTCGTGGACCCATATATGCATGCCCTTCGTGGCCCCTGCTCGTTCGCGCCCGTCGTGGCCCCACATGCATGCCCTTCGTGGCCCCGCTGTCGCCGTTCACGGTCCCTTCGCTGTCCTTCGTGGCCCCGCTGCTGCCCTCAGTGGCCCCGCCCTTGCCCTTCGCGGCCCAATATACGCATGCCCTTCGTGGCCGCCGCTCATTTGCGCCCGTCGCGGCCGCATGTGCATACCCCTTCGTGGCCCCGCTGTCGCCCTTTGTGGCCCCTTCGCTGTCCTACGTGGCCGAGTTGCTACCCTCAGTGGCTCCGTCGTTGCCCTCTGTAGCCCCGCATTATCAGCCCTTCGTGGCCCCCGTTCGTTCGCGCTCTTCCTGGCCCCATACGCATTCATTTCGTGTCCCCGCTGTCGCCCTTCGTGGCCCACTTCGTGCCCTTCGTGGCCCTGCTGTCGTTCTCCCTCTCGCTCTCGCTTTCGCTCGTCGTTATCATCGTCGCCGTCGTCGCCGTCGTCGACATCGTCGTCGTCGTCGTCGTCGTCGTCGTCGTCGTCGTCGTCGTCGTCGTGGTCGTCGTCGTGGTCGGTCCCCTGTCCGTCCCTCTTGGGGTCGGGTTGCCGCTGATCAGCGCTGCCGCTGGCCAGGCCTGCGGTCCGCGGCCGCCCCGCCGCTTGCCGGGGCCCGGCCTGCAAGGAAGAACGGTCTACCCCCCAAAACGGGCACGATCGAAAACGAAGAGGGCGCGTATCGAGGGTTTGGAAATACGCGTTAGCGGACACTCGAACAGAGAAAAGCGAACAATATCAAAGTGATTGCTGTTGTTGTTTTCGTTGTTGTTTGTTGTTGTTGCTGTTGTAGTTGTTGTTGTTGTTGTTGCTGCTATTAATGTTGTTTGTTGTTTGGCGTCGACTTCCGCGACCCGACCCGCGACCCATCCGCGACCTACCCCGCGACCCGTGCGCGACCCACCCGCGACCCGGCCCGCGACCCATCTGTGACCCACCCGCGACCCACCCGCGACCCACCCTGCGACCCACCCACATTGCTTTAACGCAAAAACGGCGCCTGCGGCGGGCTCGTTGTATGATTTGTGAAAATTAGGCGCCTGCGGCGGGCTTCTTCAGAGCCTCGCAGACTGCAGACGCCCCCGCCGCCCACTCACTCTTATCCGCGATTGCGAGGTGCTAATTACGTGAAGCAGCTACTGGCTTCTCACTGACAAGGCCAAGGCACTGGATATACAGTATCCGCTACAGTGCCTGCACGATCGATGACAATCATGTTGCTTTTTATCGACTCATATTGCTCCCGCAGTGCCCCTGGGGCGGGCCCCCGCCACTCGAAAGAGTCGTAGGCACCCCCCTCAGTATATTGCTCCCCACCGCCATTCTCTTTCTCTGGAAGAGCAAAGACGGCGCCCAAGACCGCTCCAGGACAGATGCAAGGTGGCTCCATACACGCCCATGGCGACACATCGACCTCACCAAAGAGTCTAACGCCTGCCCAAGATGACCCAAGACGCTCCAAGAAGCTCCCCAAAAGCATCCAAGGATGCTAACAATCGGTTGCTTCCGATTGTGAACTTCAGAGAGGCCCACGAGACCCCAAGACCCCGGACAGCCCGATAGGGGGCCCAAACGGCCCTCCGACTCCGCTAGACGGCCGCACGACCCTGCCAGACGTCCTCGAGTCGGCTTAAGCTAGCTTCTCCGGGAGAGCTCGTCAGAACCATCTCGCCGAAAACGGGCTCGACACCCCCGGCTGGCCCCAAAGGGGGCCCCTGACATACTCCCAAGAAGCTCCCCAGTGGGGCCCCCAAGAGGCCACGAACAGTCTGCCAAAAGGCCCCCAATGTGCTCTCCAAATGGGGAGGAGGCCCCCGAAGAGGCCCCGAACAAGCTGCCGACAAGCCTCCAAGATGTCCTCCATAGTAGGACGAAGAGGAGGAGGAGGAGGAGGAGGAGGAGGAGGAGGAGGGGAAGAAGGAGAAGGAGGATAACGAGGCTGCGTACGAGGAGGGGCTGTTTGAGAGCAGCGCCAGTTCGTGCAATTGGCTGAGCTGGAGCGGGTCTGGCAGCCTCCCCCCATGCTCTGCCGGGCATGGCGGCGGGATTTGCCATATGCAGCTGGATGAATTGGCGCAGCACTCGAAGGGAGCACGTGCTGGACGCTAAAGCAGACACATGACTTAACAAAAAAACACTCGACGAAACAGCAATCGGGCGCTTGGCCTGATCTGGCACAGCATTGATGACCTCCGCACGCGTGCTTGGTGGAGCTCGCAGCGGTGAAGCAGCGTGTGCGCGGCCACGCTCCTCGACTCTCTCTGGGGGGCCCACGATTTCTGGCGCCCAGAAATGCATGCTACGCCCTGCAGCCTCGGAGCTGGTGGAGCCAGCGTTGAGATGCGAACCATCCTGCGCGTGTGCGCTACGTGCCTCGCCAGCAGAAGCAAACATGGAGCTAAGGGGTTGCCTTCAGAGGGAGCAACATTCGGGGTGTGGAATGTGGGAGACATGGGGGGCGGGGATCTGTCGGCTACACGCTAGAGTGACCCTAGGTAAGAGTGACCTTTGGTGCGCGGCTTGTTGGGACCGCGGGGGGTCCAAAAACAAGCGCGCAAGCCGCTGCTACCGCTTCTCTTTCGGCCATCTGGGGGCCCATCTGTGCCCGCACCAAAGGTCACTCCGGCGAAAGGTCACTCTTACGCCTAGTCGGATCTTTCGGGCGGCGCCTTGAGCCACTCAGCATGAACGAAGAACGACCTTCAAATCCGCCACCGTGCCGCGAGGCACGACATGGAGCCTCTTAAGGCCCTCAAGAGTCCTCATCATCGTTGTCGACTATTGCAAATGCTCTCGACGCGGCCAAAGGCCCTGGATTCCGGGCGCTCCTGGGCGCTCCCCGGGCTTGTCGCAGAACCATTGGGGCTTGAGATTTCGAGCCCTCCGCCCCAAGACCTCCGAGACCGCCAGCAGGCCCGAAAGAGGCCCCCAAGCTGCCCTCGAAAGGCCCCCAAGGTGCCCCTGAGGGGGCCCCAGAACGCCATCAAGAGGCCCCAAAGGAGCCTCCAATAACCCTCCACGACTCCAAAAGGCTCTCGAAAGGCATCCCGCATGCCCCCAAGAGGTTCCCAACATGCCCCCCCAGGAGACCATCAAGAGGCCCCAAAGGGCCCCCCAATAATTAGTCATCCAAGAGGCCTCAGAGAGGCATCCCGACATACCCTTCATGTATTCTGGAAACCTCTGACCCAACCCAAGCACGGTGGCGGGATGGGCCGAAGGCCAGTAGACCTGGGCCGGCACGGAAACGGAAAGAGCGCCTCAAACACATCAACCGAAATTACTCACACCACCGTTTGTACTGCCACCCCTCGCTCCTCTTCCTCCTCCTCCTTTCCCTCCTCCTCCTCCTCCTCTTCCTCCTCCTCCTCCTCCTCTTCCTCCCCCTCCTCCTTCTACCTCCCTCCTCCTCCCTTGGCCTCGTCCTCCTCCTCCTTCTACATCCCTCCTCCTCCCTTGGCCTCGTCCTCCTCCTCCTCCTCCTCCTCCTCCTCCTCCTCCTCTTTCTCCTCCTCTTCCTCCTCCTCCTCCTCCGCCTCCTCCTCCGCCTCCTCCTCCGCCTCCGCCTCCGCCTCCTCCTCCTCCTTTCCCTCCTCCTCCTCCTCCTCCTCCTGTTCCTCCCCCTCCTCCTTCTACCTCCCTCCTCCTCCCTTGGCCTCGTCCTCGTTCCTCCTCTTCCCTCCTCCTCCTCCTCCTCCTCCTCCTCCTCCTCCGCCTCCTCCGCTCCCTCCGCCTCCTCCTCCTCCTCCTCCTCCCCTCCTCCTCCTCCTCCTCCTCCTCCTCCTCCTCCTCCTCCTCCTCCTCCTCCTCTCCTCCTCCTCCTCCTCCCTCCCTCCTCCTCCTCCTCCTCCTCCTCCCTCCTCCTCCTCCTCCTCCTCCTCCTCCTCCTCCTCCTCCTCCTCCTCCTCCTCCTCCCCCTCCTCCTCTTTCGGCGCGCTCGGAAGCCTATTGCGGCCCTCGTGGGTCTTGGGCGCCTCTTGGCCCGTCTTGGCGCCCTCTTGGGCTATTTTGGGGGCCTCTTGGAAACAGCTTGGGCCGTCTTGGGGCGGTCTTTGGGGCCTCTTGGGCCGTCTTCAACGCCATGAAAGGCGAAAAGCCGTATATGCTAGAAATCTACGTTTTCCTTCAGAAAACCATTGATTTTGGCTTCGTGGGGCCCTCTTGGGACGCCTCGTGGGCGCCTCCTGGGGCGTCGTGGAGGCCTCTTGGGACGTCTTGGGGCCGCCTTGGGCGGTCTTGGGCTCTCTTGGGGCGCTCTTGGGCAGTCTTGGGCGCTTCTTGGTCCGTCTTGGGCAGTCTTGGGCGCCGTCTTGGCTGCTTCTTGGGCTGTCTTAGGCGCCTAAGACGGCCCAAGAAGCTCCCAAGAAGCGTTCTCCGATGATGTCTCGAGCGAAACGCTGTTTTTTTAGCCCCGAAGGCCGTCCTACTCGATAAAAAACGAGGCGGGAGGGCTATGTTGGGGGCAATCATTGATTTTGGCATCGTGGGGCCCTCTTGGGACGCCTCGTGGGCGCCTCCTGGGGCGTCGTGGAGGCATCTTGGGACGTCTCGGGGCCGCCTTGGGCGGTCTTGGGCTCTCTTGGGGCGCTCTTGGGCCGTCTTGGGCGCTTCTTGGGCCGTCTTGGGCAGTCTTTGGCGCCGTCTTGGCTGCTTCTTGGGCTGTCTTAGGCGCCTAAGACGGCCCAAGAAGCGCCCAAGAAGCGTTCTCCGATGATGTCTCGAGCGAAACGCTGTTTTCAAGCACCGAAGGCCGTCCTACTCGATAAAACACAAGGCGGGAGGGCTATTTTGGGGGCCTCTTGGCAACATCTTGGGCCGTCTTGGGGCGGTCTTGGGGGCCTCTTGGACCGTCTTCAACGCCATGAAACGCGAAAAGCCGCATATGCTAACAATGCACGTTTTCCATCCGAAAATCAATGATGTTGGCCTCGTGGGGCCCTCTTGGGACGCCTCGTGGGCGCCTCCTGGGGCGTCGTGGAGGCCTCTTGGGGCGTCTTGGGGCCGCCTTGGGCGGTCTTGGGCTCTCGTGGAGCGCTCTTAGGCCGTCTTGGGCGTTTCTTGGGCCGTCGTGGGCCGTCTTGGGTACCGTCTTGGCCGCTTCTTGGGCTGTCTTAGGCGCCTACGACGGCCCAAGAAGCGCCCAAGAAGCGTTCTCCGATGATGCCTCGAGCGAAACGCTGTTTTTAAGCCCCGAAGGCCGTCCTACTCGATAAAAAACAAACGGTTGAGGCCTTCTTGGGGCCGTCCTGGCGCTGTCTTGGGCCGTCTTGGGCCGTCTTGGCGCCCTGTTGGGCAGTTTTGGTGCCTTCTTGGGGGCCTCTTGGGCCTTCTTGGGGCGCTCTTGGGGGCCTCTTGGACAGTCTTGGACGCCTCTTGGCCCGTCTTCGCGCCCTCTTGGGCTATTTGGGGGGCCTCTTGGCAACATCTTGGGCCGTCTTGGGGCGGTCTTGGGGACCTCTTGGACCGTCTTCAACGCCATGAAAGGCGAAAAGCCGTATATGCTAACAATGCACGTTTTCCATCAGAAAATCAATGATGTTGGCCTCGTGGGGCCCTCTTGGGACGCCTCGTGGGCGCCTCCTGGGGCGTCGTGGAGGCCTCTTGGGACGTCTTGTGGCCGCCTTGGGCGGTCTTGGGCTCTCGTGGAGCGCTCTTAGGCCGTCTTGGGCGCTTCTTGGGCCGTCTTGGGCCGTCTTGGGCGCCGTCTTGGCCGCTTCTTGGGCTGTCTTAGGCGCCTAAAGACGGCCCAAGAAGCGCCCAAGAAGCGTTCTCCGATGATGCCTCGAGCGAAACGCTGTTTTTAAGCCCCGAAGGCCGTCCTACTCGATAAAAAACGAGGCGGGAGGGCAATTAGATCTCGGGGCCCGCGATGCCAACCCCCTCGAACTCCCCCAAGTCCAATTTCTTCCGACTAACGGACCGCACGCTAACGCGCGCTTTCCGTCATCCGGGGTCCGCGGATGCCAACCCCCTCGAACTCCCCCAAGTCCAATTTCTTCCGACTGACGGACCGCACGCTGACGCGCGCGTTCCGTCACTGGGCGCCTGCGCCTCGCACCCCCCCTGGACCCCCCCCCCCATTCAGGGCTTCGCCCCCTACTCAACGCCACTCGCTCGTACCTAGCTCTTTCCGTCACCTGGCCCGGCACAGAAACGGAAAGAGCGCTTCAGTAACAGAAACCGAAATTACTCACACCGCCGTTCGTACCGGGAGCCTTGGCGTTGAGAGCTTGTTACGTCACGCCTCGCTCTTGGGAGCCTTGGTGTTCAGAGATTGTTGCGTTGCCGCCCGTTCCTGAGCCTTGGCTGGGACTTGGTGTCAGGAACTTGTTGCGTCACCGCTCTCTGCTGGGAGCCTTGGTCTTATCAGCTTGTTTACGTCACCGTTCGCTCTTGGGAGCCTTGGTGTGAAGAGCTTATTGCGTTACCGATCGCTCTCTATTTGGCGTCTCTGGGCCTTCTTGGGAGTCCTATTGGGGCCCTTGTCGGGCCCTTTTGGAGGCCTCTTGGGAACCTCTTGGGGGCCTCTTGGGGCTTCTTGGGGGGCTCTGGGGGCCTCCTGAGGCTTCTTGGGGCGAAAGGCTAGACTTTTCGGTTCGTAGTCCCCCTCTTGGGGCCGTCTTGGTGTCTTCTTGGGCCGTCTTGGGCGCCTCTTGGGCCGCCTTGGCGCCCTCTTGGGCCGTTTTGGGGGCCTCTTGGGAGCCTCTTGGGCCGTCTTGGGGCGGTCTTGGGGGCCTATTGGAGCGTCTTCAACGCAGTGATGGCCGAAAAGCCTTGTATGCTGAAATGTGCGTTTTCTCATAGGAAATCAATAATTTGTGCCTCCCGGGGGCCTCTTGGGACGCCTCTTGGGGCTTCTTGGGGGGCTCTTGGGGGCCTCCTGGGAGCGTCTTGGGGCGAAAGGCTAGACTTTTCCGTTCGTGGTCCCCCTCTTGGGGCCATCTTGGCGCCCTCTTGGGCCGTCTTGAGCGCCTCTTGGGCCGTCTTGGGGCCCTCTTGGGCCGTTTTGGGGGCCTCTTGGGAGCCTCTTGGGCCGTCTTGGGGCGGTCTTGGGGGCCTCTTGGGCCGTCGTCAACGCCGTGAAAGCCGACAAAGCGCATATGCTAAAAATATACGTTTTCCTTTGGAAAATCGATGATTTCGGCCTCTTGGGGCCCTCTTGGGACGCCCCTTGGGCGCCTCTTGGGGGCCTCTTGGGCTCTCTTGGAGCGCTCTTGGGCCGGCTTGGCGGGGAACCCGAACAACATGCAAAAACCCAAGGGAAAACCCGAAAACGGCCATTAACACACATGCGCACGCTACCCCCCTCCCCTGGAACCCCTCCCTTTAGGGCTTCGCCCACACCAGAACGTCATCTCTCGTACCTAGCTCTTTCCGTTACCTGGGCCTGGCACAGAAACGGAAAGAGCGCAGCAGCAACAGAAACCGAAATTACTCACACCACCGTTCGTACCGGGAGCCTTGGCGTTGAGAGCTTGTTACGTCACCCCTCGCTCTTGGGAGCCTTTGTGTTCAGAGATGGTTGCGTTGCCGCCCGTTCCTGAGTCTTGGCTGGGCCTTGGTGTCAGGAACTTGTTACGTCACCGCTCTCTATTGGGAGCCTTGGTCTTATCAGCTTGTGTACGTCACCGTTCGCTCTTGGGAGCCTTGGTGTGAAGAGCTTTTTGCGTTACCGCTCGCTCTCTATTTGGCGTCTCTGT